TCCCTGCAGACAACATCAGCAGCTGCTGCGCATCTGGCAGAGGGACAATTTTTACACGAGGAGCAAACATTGAACAATGCAAAGTCTCTGTTATACCGAGCAGGGACTCGAAGACCAACAATTTCCAGAACAGAAGGGCATAATTTCAAACCAAAGTAAACAAAAATAACAAGGTAATAATTCAAGTCCATTCAATTCTTTATTATTTATGTGCCGAGTCAACAGCCGCAAGGCCAATTACAGACAGAGCACAGTGTAGATACAAGTAATTACATTATGGACAAACACAATATAAAGTCCATTTGTCTATAATCCGTCTAAATTGCAACACTTTTTATTTTACACTTCAATACACGCAACACTACATGTTTCGGCCTCAAACGGCCATCTTCAGGTGTTTTTTTTTACAGATATTCAATTAAGCCCCCTCGTTGGTGTCTCCACCTTATCGTGGTGAGGGGGTTTGAGTATGCCAAGGACCCTGAGAGCTATACCAGCGGTAGCGTAGCTACTGGCAGGGCCTCCCTTGCTGGACAGGTCAAAGGGTAGGCATCAGACGAAGAGAGACACCGAAAACTGATGTCGGAAGCAGCGTCATCAGCAGCGACTTGAAGCACAGAGAAAATGATGCTCGAGATGGTTCAAGTTCGTATAGCAACAGGCGTGACCAGAGTGGTTTGAACGGCTGTTGTACTGCGATGTGGAAAGCAAATGGAAAAACTACCACATTATCACTTTTCCTGGATAGCCTCTTTCCAAAAACAGAAGATCGCATTAAGTGGAGAAACTGTTTTGGAAGAGACTGTGGACCTGTCGTCTGACAGATTACTGATGAATGATGAATTCAATTAAGATTGTGTCAAAACTGCTACACTGTTTCACTCACTAGTAAAGACAACACCACACGTTGAGGAGGAAACACAAACCAGGAGCAAATAACTAATGTGAGGAACAAGCTGCCAAGGAAAACATCTTAATATATTTTACGGAAATGACGACACCCTGAGTGAAGTAAAACAATAAGTAACAAATTGTAAAAGAATTTTATCTCATTTTAATTAAAAAGAAGACTGCAGCGTGTTTTTTTAAATGAATTGGAACAGTGAAACAGTGTAGCAGTTTTGACACAATCTTAATTGAATATCTGTAAAAAAACACCTGAAGATGGCCATTTGAGGCCGAAACATGTAGAGTTGAAGAGTGTACTGAAGTGTAAAATAAAAAGTGTTGCAATTTAGACGGATTATAGACAAATGGACGCTAATGTGAACAATTGCAACGGGATGCTGAAATACAGAATCACAATATAAAGTCAAGCACTGGGGAAAACACAATAACGCAGAAAAGTAAACAAACGAATAAACACGGAAATACTAAGGATCTCCTTTCGCAAGATAAACAGGCGGCACAGGACCAGCCACCTATACGAATGTGAATGTGGAAGGTTGAACATGCGTATATTGTGCATTTTAGACATCATATGTGTATCCATACAATTAACATCTATTGTAATAGTAGTTTCCGAAAGTATTGATACCCTCTGAGGATGATCCGTAAGGATCGAAACATGTACGGGAGATAAATCCTCAAGTGAAAAAACTTAAATAGTCACATTAGACGGTATTATTTTTGCCTTTGTAAACAAATTATAATGATAGCAACAATAATAAAATAATAATAATCTCAAAAGAATAATTATCCTTATAGTAATAAGTGTATTAGATGGAAAGGAAAGGAAAGGAAAGGAAAGGAGCCCTTAGAAGTTCAAGAAGCTGCCGGTAAAATTCTCTTCAATGTACCTGCAGAAGTACCGTGTGTACTCCTGCCGTTGATGGCCACACGCTTGGGAAGACAAAAATATACCGTATTTACGCATGTATAGGCCGCACATTTTTTGCAAAAAATTCAAGAGGAAAACTGGGGTGCGGCTTATATTCGAAATATTCGAAATCACACTTCATTTAAAAAAAATATATTCATAATTAGTAATACAGGGTGTTCTACTCCTGAAATAATATTCCAAGAAAATTATTTTTTCTGTAATTTCTGTCTGAAAATTGGGCTGCGGCCTATACACGCACGCGGCCTACACATGCGTAAATACGGTATTCCACGACAAAATGTTATACTGTATACGTGTGCCCGCAATAATTCAATTCAATTTAATTATTTATTATTTATGTGCCGAGTCAACAGCCACAAGGCCAAT